ATAACTTATAGTCATAGGTCTTATCTCATAACATATACTTGTTTCACATATATATTTCATATCATTTCTTATACCCTCACATAATTCATTTAACATACATAACATATCATGTAACATTATAATAGAAATACCTATAAGTCATATCACTTAGAGCACATATACTTATAGTCACATGTTTATATCATATAACTTATGTAATCACATATACTATTTATACTAGTTCACATAGCTTATTTCACTAACATGTATTCACACAATTCATGTAACATATACAATAATATATATATCACATACACTCATTTATATAAGCTCTACTATGGAAAATAGACTTACCACTATTCCCATAGTATATCCCATACACATGTAACTTTTCATGCATGTTCATTTCAAGCATATCAAATAATGCATATGGTATGAATTCATATCATGTTTCATACTATTGAATGAATCATGTATCAAAATATTAAATCTAGACTTATCGCAAGTCTAGAACTGAATAAACTAACATAATCATGCTATGCATATGCACTCACCTGGCCTCACTAATCCATTTCAATCTCTTATCTTCCCTTTTTATCGATCTTACTTGTCAATGATTCCGGAACTCGTTTAGGCTCTAAATCTACATAATTATACATTTTAAGACAATTATTAGATACATACACCTTTTAATTGGATACTAGCAACTTAAACGAACTTATTAAATCAATATTAACATTTTCCTTTAGGGGGAATCGGTTCCCTCCTGTGGGGGTATCGGTTCCCCTCTGGCATTCTGGAATTCTGTCGTTTGAAGGGGTATCGGTTCCCCTTGAATGGGTACCGATTCCCCTTGCCCAGAAATCATATTTTTAGCTCGAAAATCACTTCATTTTCTCTCAAACACTTCATATATCATCCCCTTTTTATTCTTAACTCTAGTACACATACTTAAACCAATCTATATTCATTTATTTCATCTTAAACCTCAAAATCCTATCATCCATATAAGATTCAAAAATCATACCAAATTTTCAATGTGTTCTAAATCAAATTCTATCACTCCAAATCTCTTAATTTAACCATTGACAAGTCAAATTTAACTTCAAATTCTACTTATCAATTCTTTTCCAAAGTTTCATATAAAAACTCCAAATCTTTAATCTCTTAACTCCTCCATTCTTTGATTTTTACTGTAACCCAAGCTTTCCTTATGTTTATCCATCAACTAAAGATAAAAACCAAACTTAAAATTCAAATAATAATCAACTAATAAAACTCTCACCTTTGCCTTGCTCTCCCACGCATGAAGAAGAAGAAAGGAGAAGAGAACTCTGGATATTTCTCCCATTTCCCACGTGTATATAATTCCTTAAATGATCAAATGACCATTTTACCCTTTATTTCCTTTAACAATTACAAAATAACCTTCATCATATGTATCCAATAATCATTGAACTATTTTATTCTTATACTTTAGTCACCAAATTCTGAAACTTTACAATTTGGTCACTAACCCGATATTGAGGATGTTACACCTGGGGTTGGCCAACTATTACCAGAGGTTTGTCAAAGGTTACTCAAAAATCGCAGCCCCCTTAACCGAGTTATTGAAGAAAGACAAGGCGTGGGATTGGGGCCCAAAGTGTCAAAGTGCCTTTGACGAAATCAAGCTTGCTATGACAAGCGAGCCAGTTTTGGTGTTGCCAGATCACACCAAGCCCTTTGAAGTATTTACTGATGCATCCGACGTTGCCATTGGTGGGGTCCTGATGCAAGAGGGACATCCGGTTGCTTATGAAAGCCGGAAACTCAATGAAACCGAGAGGAGATACACGGTTCATGAGAAAGAGATGACTGCAGTTGTGCACTGTTTGCGCACATAGCGACATTACTTACTTGGGTCCAAGTTCATGGTGTTTACAGACAATGTTGCCAACAGTTACTTCTTAACCCAGAAGAAGTTGTAACCGAAGTAGGCTCGTTGGCAAGAGTTCCTTGCCGAGTTTGACTTGTCCTTGGAGCACAAACCTGGGAAAGTGAATTCCGTGGCTGATGCCTTAAGTCGAAGGTGTGACATGGAGTTTGTGAGTTTGCCGACGGGACAAATGCGGGAGCGCATCAAAGAGGGGTTGTCACATGATCCGATAGCCCCTTCATTGATTGAGCTTGCCAAGGAGGGCAAGACTAGAAAGTTTTGACTAGATGGAGGCTTGTTGTATGCTCGAGGACACCGCCTTTATGTTCCACAATTTGAAGGATTGCGAAAGGAGCTCATGAGGGAATGCCATGATTCCAAGTGGGCGGGACATCCGGGGATCCACCGGACTTTGGCCTTGATAGCGGAGCACTATTATTGGCCGCACATGGGCAATGATGTCGAGGCCTATGTAAAGACCTGTCTTGTGTGCCAGCAAGACAAAATAGAGTAGAGGAGACCAGCTGGATTGTTGCAGCCTCTGCCTATCCCCGAGAAACCATGGGAAAGTCTTTCCATGGATTTCATTGTTGGTTTGCCTGTTTCCGATGGATTTTCTAGCATCATGGTCGTGGTGGATAGATTTTCCAAGTATGGGACCTTTATTCCAGCATCCAAAGTTTGTCCAGCTGAGGAGGCCGCTCGTCTTTTTCTCAAGTACGTGGTGAAGTACTGGGGTGTTCCAAAGACGATTATCAGTGATCGGGACACAAGGTTTACTGGGAGGTTCTGGAAGGAGTTGTTCAAGTTGATGGGATCAATCTTGAACTTCTCGACAAGTGTTCATCCACAGACGAATGGGCAAACCGAGAGAGTGAATGCACTCGTCGAGACCTACTTGAGGCACTATGTGAGTGCCACACAACGTGACTGGCCAAAATTATTAGATGTAGCCCAGTTTTCCTACAATTTGCAGAGTAGTGAAGCGACCAATCAGAGCTCATTTGAGATTGTCACCGGGCAACAGCCGTTTACACCAAATACGGTTGTGACGGGGTACCAAGTGCCGAATTCAACAGCATACCAATTTGCCAAGGAGTGGCAATAACAACATGAACTAGCCCGAGCTTGTTTGCACAAGGCTGGGAAGCGAACCAAGAAGTGGGCAAATTGAAAGCGTCGGGATGTAAACTTTAAGGTTGGTGACCTAGTCCTTGCCAAATTAAGTGGTATCTTGCGCAACCCATATCACAAAGGGCTTGTACGAAGATACGAGGGGCCATTCAAAGTTTTAAAGTGGGTAGGCACCATGGCCTACAAATTAGAATTGCCTTTGACCATCAAAGCTCATCTTGTGTTCCATGTGAGTTTGTTGAAGCCATACCATCAGGATGAGGAGGAGCTAGATCGAGGCAAGTCACACCGAGCGCCAGTCGGGGTAAAGGTCTCATACGAGAGAGAAGTAGAAGCTATCCATGCAGAGAGAGCCATTCATGGAGTGGGAAAATGACCAAGGCATGAATACCTTGTTCAGTGGAAGGGACTTCCAGAGAGTGAAGGAAGTTGGGAACCTTTCGAAGCCTTGTGGCAATTCCGAGATAAGATAGACCAGTTTCACTCTAGTAGCGCAACGAGGGCGTCGCTAGAACTAGTGGGGGAGAATGTCACAGACCGCCAGCCCAAGACCGAACCCAGTTCGTTCAAGGATGCCAGAGACTATCTTTGCCATGTTTTGGGCCTTCTAGAAGACCCAGCAGAGCTGGCCCATCCACCTTGGAGAGAGAAGAGGCATGATAATTATTTGAAATTATCTTAGAGATAATTCCCACTAATTATTCTTTAATTTAGAGTTATAGATAGAGTAGGGCTCTTTTCTGACCGTTGATCTAATTTAATCTTAACCATTGATTGTAGGGGGCTCTAACTATAAAAGGAGGCTCACCCCCACCTCATTTACACACTTCAGATTGAGGAATACAAGTTAGCATTCATTCTAAACTCTCTTCTCCATTTGAGCGCCCATCTCTTTATTTTTCCCATTTCCTTTGTTTTCGCAACGTTCTAAGTATTCTTGCTTAGTGGAGGTTTGGGTTACTTAGCCGATTTTCGACTTTGAAAACGACTAAGGCCGCACGAGCTTACTAGCAGCAGTCTAGGCCCGTGACAATATCATGTTGATTTTCGGGTGCTAATTAAATTTGGTGCTTGGCGTGAAGAAATAGAAAAATGATATACTCTGGAAAACATTATTTCCCTTCTTTGAAACTACAACCACCACTAATAAACTAAGAAGAGTGAGAAACACTTTTTGTTTGGTAGGGCACATAGTATGAAGATCCTAAAGCCAGCTTGCTTAGCCAGATTAATCTTTGAATATTAAACTAAAACTATAAAAGGAACGGTCAGCATTTTCAGTTGTACAATTTTTCTCTGCCAAAACCCACTTCCCTTCAACTTAAATTAAAAGATTCAAGTCAGTTTCAATTCAAAGCTCAGATTTTTTAAACTTTGCAGAAGATGGCAGCAGCTTCATCATCAATACACGACTTGCTAATTCCAACAACATTAGTTCATGGTTGTAATTACCACTTACTTTGTATGACAGAAAAATGTTACCCACATCAGATATAAAGAGAGAGCCATGCATACTGAATCCGGCAACAATGGCAAAACTCTATTTACACACTGCAATTCTCACGTATGTTTGCCATTGTTGCTGCTGAGGAACAGCTTTTATTATTCCTATTTATAGAGCTAGCTTTCAACTTTATATTTGGCTCAAATATTAACTGCTGCATTTTTTTTCCATTAGTTAAGTTATTGTCCTTTGATATCTAAACTAAATTAACAAGTTAAATTTTAATATGTACTTTTTTTTTAATTTAAATACATTTTAAGTTTCTATCAATTTTAAAATTATTAAATTAAATTTTAATCCCTAATTTTTAAAATTTTAAATCAATGATTTAACTATTAGTATTTATCTGAGTGGATTATTGGCCAAACAATGCTGAATCAGTTGCAGCGATATCAATCATTAGGGTCTGAAAATTGAGAAACTGATAAGCCTCTACTCTCCGTAAATTCCAGCCCCAGCACAACGCAGAACAACAAGTACACAATTTATTGTGCTGTTAATGGTCGAAACTGTCATAAAATACAGCAAAGAAAAGTTGAAAAGGCCAAGTACAATAAAGTTCTTAGTGGTTACTTTTCCTAATCAATTCAGTGCTTCATCGAGTTTATCTGTCAACCGCTGAAGCCTGAATGTCTAATCAGTCTTCCATAATGGCATATAAAACCTACAAATAACAACCTTACTTGCTCTCCAGAAATCAAGAAACTAACTTCATTTCTAGATTACCCTAACCCACCATAGGATATCTTGATACCTACAAAAATTCCAAAACTACGCATTTATATTTGATCCAATTCAGAGTTTATCACACGCATGCCCTACCCAACCCAACCCAACCCAAAGCCCCAAAGCTATGGGCAAACAAAAAATGTACAGGGCTAGAGTTATAACGTGCGTCAATGGAAATTTTATGCCACTTCTGTTGATGGTATTAGCTTGAAAAGGGTAGCCTCTAACTTAAGAAGCTGAGACTAGGGTGCATCGTGGAAGCCTGATTCACAAACCCTTAACATAATAAGCATATTCACTGACTCTGATAAACTTCTATGATGAAACAGACGGGCTCCTCACCTCCTACCAGTAAAATAGAAAACTCAATCTTTTCGATATTTTATCCAAAACCCCTTCTTTCTAGCAGAGTCGTTCTCAGATAGTGATCTACCCCACCTAGACCCAATCGAGAAGTGGCGTTTTAAGAAAGGCTTTGCCAAGGAGCTTCTCCGGCTTGAACTGGATTCCAACTTTGTATCTTTTCCTTCTCGTTTGGTGTTTTCTACGTGTTCAATATCATCACAACAATCATCAACAGAACTATCTATAACTCTATTCTTGAACAACTTAAGATGTTTTGCCTTCAACTCTGCTTCAGCTTTTAAAGCTTTCTTGCACATCTTTGAGACCTGTTTTTCTCCAACCATACATATTGGGCAGGCTGGGTCGTATCTGTTAGCCTCTAGTGTCATTGTCTCCAAGCATTCAGCATGATAAACATGTCCACAGACAAGCACAGAAACAACTGAAATCTCATTGCTACTCCATGCGGATCTCTCAGCTAAAAGCTTTGAGCAAGCACCACAAGTTCGCATATCTATGGACGGAGAATATGAAAATCTGCTGCTACATCCATTTATCTTGCCATAACTAGAGCCTAAGTGTTCACTGTCAAAAGACCACCTTTCTCTTTGAGAAGAGGCCACAACCTCTGAAAAAGTGCACACGGACCAGCCATCAGAAGAGCCACCATGAGACCCAGCTGTTAAACCATTGCTACATCTGGAGAGCACGAAAGATGACCTTGCTTCAGACATGGAATAATTATTTGGTGACTTCAGTCCCAGGATTCGACTATCAGAAACCTGCCTCAATAGCTGTTGCCCAGGTAAATGGCGAGCCTGTTGTGATGGGGTTGAGTTTGGAGGAAGCAAATGAGCATGGCTAGACAAAGTATCTGTTATTGGTGGTGAGAATGATGAAGGTATACAAAATGAAAGCTTTGGTGTAGATGAATCAATGATATCGGGCGATTCTGCCAAATTCTTCACCTGAAATATAACCAGAAAGGTATTTTAGCCATCAATAGAATAGGCTAGTGTATCACCACAAGACACAGGAAACACACAAAGCATAAAAGGCTATTCAAGTAAAGTCAATATCGGCTATAAATCAAACTTACATCAACTGAATAATTGCTTGCTCTTGATATGTCTGCACCAACAACATAAAACAATATCAAAAACAAAAGAAACAAATCACAAAATAGAGGGAACAAACTAGCAGGCTAGCAGCTACATTACTCAGAACAGTATTGAGAGAAAAAGGATAGAAAGTAGACAATAACATGATAAATGCAACTTGAATATACGTAAGCATGTCCGCTTTATTTTTATTCGACCATGTTGCCCTGCATATTAAAGGTATGGCATTATCAACAGGATAGAAGACCATTGGATCCTTTTGCATCCATGGGCAAAGTTACATAAATTACACATCTCCAAATGAAACAATTAACATAAAACAAAAATTCAAGCAAAAATTCCCTAAACCCCTTTAGGCTAATTCAATTGGCAAGTGATTTTACCTGAAGGATGGGTCATCATATTCTCACCCATTTCTTCACGGACTGGAGATTTTTGAGAAGTGGGTGTTCCATATGCCTCAATCTCATGTAGACTTCCTTGATCGGAAAGATTACCCCTATCAGATCCTAATGTCCCCTTTATCTCCATGCTGACATTTCTACTAGTTCCATTAGGCACCTGATAAGAAGGCTCATAAATTTCACCAGCTACACGCCTGCGATTATCTCGGCAGAAGCTCCATGATGGCGAACACCTCACATTTCTATGCGAAGTCTCACGTCCTGTTCTGTTTGGAATGGTTCTGTCCCTTGCGGCAACACAACAAGCGGATCCCATGATCACTCAAATACCCAAAAGTGATCTTTTACGAAGCTGCAACACCGATTCAAGCTATGAACTCAAGGGAAAATACTGCATAGATGATAAAATCGATAATTGCCTGTCAAAAAATCACAATTTGAAATTGCAAAGATAAATTGAATAGACAGCTTAAACCAACCTCACATACTTAAAAGATAGCTACTTCAAACAAAGCTAACCACAACTGACTGGATAAGTTTCATTTTTATAAAGAGCAATTTTACAATTTCATTTCATTTCGCTCTGAACTCCATGATCAAAACCTAGGGTAAAAATTAGAGCTAACAATATTCTATATATATAAAAGCCCAAGAAGATCAATTTTAAGAAAGTAAATAAAAAAATAAAATAAGAGTAAATTGCATGGGAATCGTATATGTTATTTTATATTAAGTTTGAAGTGCACTTTGAGATTAAGAAAAATAAATAAATAAATAGTATAAGTGAAAAATAGATTAGTAGCGGATAGCAGGGTTAGGTAAAACAATAACCGCGAAAATTCCAGCTAGTGCAAAGCATCATCCTCAATTAATTGAATAATTAATTAAGCATTATCTGGCTTTCTTCAAAATCAGAATAAGAATAAGAATAATGTAAAATAAAACATTTAAGTCACGAATATTTGCATAATTAAAGTCTTCAAAGTTAAACTATTCCAGAGCATAGTTTTATTTTACTTTTTAACAAAGAAAGGTTATAAACTCCCACAACGCCAAAAAAAAGAGAGTTTCCGAACATTTACTGTTCTACCAAACAAACAAAAATGGCATAAAAAGTTATTGAAAATCCAGGAAAAATTAAAAGCATCTTAAACAAGGGCGCGAAAACGGTTTAGTACCTACTCCATTACCAGAACTGATTTCGAGCTTTCAAAATCCAAGAAAAAACCTATTATCCACGCAAGAACTGAAATAAACATATTGACATTATTTTTAATGAAAAAAGAGGGAAGAAACTTACAGATTGGAATGATTAGAGAATAATGGAGCTGAGGAAGAAAGAGAGAAGGGAGAGATTTGAAGGGCGTCGAAAATTTCAAAGGCGGATGGTGGGGAAGGGCAGGGAGGAAGACGACGGTCGCGGCGGAAACGAGGAAAAGGGAGTAATGTGTGAAATCGAAAGAGAGAGTCAAGGGGTCTGTATGGGGAATTGTGTCTCCTCGTCTGTATGTAGTGCCGCTTCTTTTTCCGCTCCCTTCTCCTTTTAAGTTTACTTTTCCTTTTTGTTTTTCTTTATTTTCCTTAAGCTTTCCACCATAAATCACATAAAATTAAAATTTTAATAAAGATGCGCCAGTATTTTTATTTTTTATTATTATTTTTTACAATTATATGTACGATGTATTTTGATGTTGTCCAATATTATATATATATATATTCGAATATTATCATATCTAGACTTTCTTATTTTTTTAATTAATCTTTTAAAAGCTAAAATTGAGTAACGTGTTTTTACCATTTAGTGTATTTATAATATATGCGTGTATATAAATATATACAAAAGAAGGCTGAAGACGTATAAGAATTGCACCGCTTCCTATCTTTCTTTTCATTTGGTGGGTCCGGTCCCAGACATTGTGAACTTTTGTAATGAAAGCTGATAACGACCTTTGACTCGGGGCTTCACTTCATATTTTCACTCGTCTTTCTTTCTTCCGTGCGAAGTATCCTTTCTCCACAGGTGTAATATTAGATTTTCAATCATTTTAGATAAATAAAAAAAATCAATGTAAATACCTTCATATTTTTATGTTTATGTTTATTTTTATTAAAATTTAATTAATTAATTAATCAATCAATCAATATTAATACTATAAATACTCATTGTGAAAACAATCTTTAAACCTAATTTATTTCATTCAATTAAAATTGTTTATTTCTATTTTTCTAAGCAACTTTAAATAGAGAGTTGATTTTTTTTATACATGCAATACTAAAATATTAAAATCATACAATTAATGTGAAATCATTATAAACTATTTGTCTTCATTTTCCTATCCTCTATTATTAATTTCTCACTTAAAAAATTAATTATTAAATATTTTTTAATTATTAAATCGGCCTTTTGGATAAAATTTGATCTTTTAAATTTAACGAATATTTTAAAATTCGTTATACATAAAAAAATAATATATAAAAGACAAATATATATGTTGTAATTTTAGTCAAAAACATATACGTTGATATTGTAATGTGCACGTATGCTCCAATGCCTGGAATTAGTTAGCTTATCATTCAAATAACTCTATTTTATATTTAATTTAGATAATTTAATACATCTAAGATTGATAATTTATTAAATCCATTTAAATGGGAATCAGAATGTCGTTTTTCTTAGAGGTATTAGGTTTTAATATTCATGTTTATAAGATGTGAGTGCGTTTATAGACTGTAATGTGAACGTTTTTCTCTGCCTTTTGATATGTTTTTCGTTTTATTTTGTCATCTATTTTTTTCTCGTGGTTGAATTTGACATCGTCACGATTGACTCAGATGACGCTTATTTGTTATTATATTAATCTTTTCTGTTTTGGACCCTTATTTGAATTTGGATACGTTATTTACATTTTTATATAATTTTTCACGTTGTTCGACTCTGATTTGCAGTTTGTCGATGGTCTTTCAATAGTTTGGTTCCCTTTTGTATTTCATTTGCCAATGCAGCCAAATATGTTCATATTTATCTTTTGTTTGAGTTTGTTTGGTTAAATTTTTTAACTTTTTCCTTGTATGATATTTATGTGATCTTAAGTGACTAGTTTCTTATGTTATTGATCATTATAAACCTTCATTATATTAAAGATATTTTATATTTTTTAATAAACTAATAGTTCATATATATATAAATATATATAAATAATTTATTTCATATCATTTTTTGAAGTGCACCGTTAGCTTATTCATTAATAAAACGATTTAAAGTGTACTAAAGTTGGACTCTTCTTCAGATGATGAATTTATTCAAAGGCTATAATTTTTATGTTAAAAAAAAGTTCAAAGCTTTCGTTTCATTAAATATCAACACTTTTTTAAAAAAGAAATAAATTTAAAAACATCGTTTTCTATGTATGCTATTAATTAGTAGTTGGCTTAGACAATTATCAAGTTTCGTTAGATTAAATGAAACAAAAACTTGAATTAAATTATAATTAATCTAAAAATAAAATATAAAAATATTTCCATTATTTTATTTTTAAAACTATAAACCTCGTTAAATTCAAAATTTCTCAACACACAGAGTAATTGGGCCATCATCAATCAATTATTTACTGACACGTGAGTCAGTCTGGACTGGATTTATGTATTCATGGCCAAAGCCCACGCGACTGGTTTCTCTCATTTTCTTATATAAAAAATAATTGATATTATACCGATAAATATATCATTTTTATTTAGTATTAATATATATTAAAATCGGTGTGTTTTAATAAATTAAAATATAGTTAATTATTATTCAATAAATTAATTATTATCTGAACATAAATAAAATTAATTAATTATATAAAAGAAGATAATAATGTCCAAAATTGGCAGCATGCAAGCTAACCATTACCATTTCAAGCAGCTTTACTTCATTAATTTCCGTATTAAGGTAACTAATCTATCCCAGGCTTCAGTTAACGAAATTTTACATTGATTTTGCTTCCTTTTTGTTCCTTGTTCTGCTGAGTTTTGCATTGGATTCACAAGATGTAAATGCAATATGAATTATGTTTAAGTAAACATGTCCCCACCCTATGGGTAATTTAGCAGTAATCGGTGAATGTAATTTTAATCATAGATGGCGATTGCATTGTAGCTGAGACTCATATTAGAGGTTAAGAACCAGTGATTAAATGGGGGACAATATTGATCGTGAAACACAAACGATCGCGTTGATATTAGAAAATTTCTGTGACAGAGAATGTCTTGTTTAATATTTACTAGTAGTATAGATACAATATATCATGCTAATATGGGTTAGGGATGTTGATAAACGATATTCCTCAGTTTGCAGGAAAATAATCTTTGATAAGAAAACTTTCCTAATATAACTCTATTCCGTCTTATCGAACAGATGCTTGAATTTCCTGCTGTTTTTCATCCAAGGAAATGCTAACTTGCCTGTTATTTAAGGCCTACTATGGCTGGATTGTTTGGATGGGTGAAGTAGGATAATTTCTTTGCCTTTGATTGTTTTCTGAACATTTGGCATTTTACCCAACCTGTGCCGATAAGATTTCATACGTTGATTTCATTGATCTTCAACAAGGTAGCTGTCATGATTCTGAATGTGTTCACCTCTCCATCCAGGTCCTTTTCTCCAAGTTCAAGGCTTCCTCTGCCCATGCGAAGTCGCTCGGGCGTTTGCATGCTTTTGATCATTTGCCTGCCACAGCTCTATTCCATTGCAGAAGTAGTTCTCCGGGGTCTTAATGGGAGCTGAAGTTGTCAGTTGAAGGTATAAGCCATTTTTTGGTTATTATTTTACATACATTATTTAGTATACACCATTTTTTGGTCATTCTTTTTTCTCCTCTGTGGTTCTTGGTCTGGACTGGTGGATGTCCCAACTCCTAATCATTCGTCTTTCAATGATATATAACTAGTTCTGTATTGTAGATGTACCTTTCTTGCAACTTCTGCTGCATCAACTCCATTGGATCAAGGGAGTTTCTTTCAGGGTTTGCCTTCGTTAAACAAGGTATGCAGACCTAATTTGTTGTTTAGATATCACGTGGCACTGTGCATGTTATTGGAGAATACCTTGCAGGTGATTGAGCCCACGGATGCCACCTGCAGTCTATTGGGGCAAGTTTGATGCACTTTTGGAGAACTATAGTTCCTTATCTCTTTGCTGTTTTGTAGTGCATATGATGTGCACTTACTGGTATGTACACTGACATTCCATTTGTTAGTGAAACTGTGATGCTGCATATATCTAGATTTCATATGATCAAGGGAAAACTGACAGCTCAAACTTTTCTATATTTACATTATGTACTGTTTGTTTTGGGAAAATTTTCAAGCAGCTCTGAATGTTTTGAGTTGAATATTGTCTTGGGTCCCCTTCTGTAGTATAGGAATCTTCAAGTTTTATCTGATGTTGTATACCCATCCAAGCATCTTGTCCCTACTTTCAGCCTCCTTCCTCTCCAAGTGGGGTTTCGTTCCCCTCCTTTTCTTTAGTTAATGACGATTAAGTGAACATTGTTTAGGTCTTGGCTAACTTCAGTGCTAACCTGATAATCTTTTCCAGTAATGGTGATCCTTTCTGATTAATATTACTATCATTTATGTTAATGATTTGAGATGATGAAACTATAACCTGCTATTCTTTTGGATGAATTTAACACTATGTTACTCTGGACTCAATTATTTAAAAAAATTTAGCATCATCTTCTGTCAGTACCTTTCACAGTTTCATATCACTTGGCCTACCATCAAAAGGAAAAGGAAAACAACAGGGGGGATGTCTTGAAATATATGAATTGATTGTTGATTGAATGTCTATAATCAAATCAAATAGGAAAGCAAACTGCTGAGGAATTAAAATAAACCAGCAACAGGTAAAGACACCAAGTTAATATCTTGGCACGGACAAAGACTTTTGAACAAAAAGGAAGATGATAATTGGGCTTATGAAAATCGCAATCTTCTTTATAAATCTGAGTTCATAAATAAATAAAAATTAAATTAGGGATGAACTTTAATGGATAATTGTTGAAGTAATCATGTTTTGCTGGCCTATCTTCCTTTTATGATTTGGAATTCTTTTTTTGTAAATAAAAATGACATCAATTCTCTTTCTGCCTTTTAATTATCATTATTTTTTTCTACTTTGGCATTCAATAAAGCACTACAAAGCCATTGGAGCATTTTTTTTTCTATTTCTGTGATTTTTCATATTCGATTTATTAATCAATTATTCGATACTATAAAGTTTTAATAGAAAAATAATCCTCCTAACACAATTTATTTTATTAATAAAAATTTTAAAATTTAAATTTCTAATATCACTTAAAGAATTTAACATATCATCTCATTTTATCAATTAATTCTCAATCACCGTTAACATTTTTATTTCTCATTATATCCTTGGCTACTTGTCTTTCAGTTCAGTTCTTGTTGTTTTCCTTGTACCCTTTATGAGAACCATTAGCTCTCTTTATGTTAATCAAACT